CTTGATAACAACTAAAGATGTAGGTCTTCTGAAAAATCAGATTTTCTTTTGTTGAAGACTGACCTTTAGTTAACAATGTGAACTATTTGAAGATGAAACAACAAGAAGATAAGAATTCTAATGAAGTCTAAAGTTTTTCTTTTGCACATATTATCTACTCATGTACATACTGTGTACACAACTTATTTATATTTCATTAGATGAATACAATCACAAGACTGAATATTTTGTCAATATGTTTAGATAAAAATAGTGGGTCAGTTCTATTCTGTCCTGTCTGGCCTGCTGGAAAACAAACACTGTGATATGCTATTGTCAAATTACAGCTCAATAAGGGACAAAAAGACAAAAAGTATGCTCAGCTGACTAATAAATCTAATATTGAAATCTATACAAAATGAACTTCTTTTGCTGCTGTATTACTTTGTAGGTAGTATTTCAATAGTTTTAAATCCTTGAAATTTATTTTTAATACTTGAGTTAATAAAAAATTATTTAATAAATATTTTGATAATTAAATGGTTAAGAATGGTAATGAACTTGTACCCTGTAGTCATCTGTGTAAAAGGGCTTGATGGTGGGAAAATATAGTTGGTTTTCAAAAGTAGATAACAGTACCTTTTGCAGAAGAATTCCCATTGATATGTTTTTTGAATAAGTGAGGCTCTACGATATTACACATTTATAGCTGTACATTAGTCAAAAAACAACTTTCTGCTTTATATCCTGTGAACTATAGCCAACTAGACTGTTAATTATGTCTGTTAAAATCACAAAATTATCCTATTTGGCATAATTTGGAGGCACATTCAAATATTTATTGGTTAACAACAAAACCAAAAGTTGGTTCCTTGAAAAGGTGAAAAAAAATTAACAAGCCGTTACTGAGATGAACCAAGGAAAGAAAAAAAAGGAAAATTACCAAAAGAGGAGTGGAAGAAAGGACACTCTCTACTAAAAACCTTGTAGAACTAAAAAGGATTATAAGGAATACTATTAACAACTGTATAACAACAAATTGGAAAACATAAATGAAATGGACAAATTCCTAGAAAGATACAAACTACTTAAGTTTCACCCAAGAACAAAGAGACAATCTAGAAATAGATAAATACCAATTTGATAGTGGTGAAGGGTATTAGAGCTTTGGTGGTGGGTATATTCCTGAAACTTATATAATATTGTAAACCAAAGTGAAAACCTAAGTAAAATAGGAGGTAATACTTCCCAACTCATTCTATCAGACCCTCATAGCAAAACCAAACAAAGATATCACAAGAAAACTACTGGCCAATATCTCTTAAGAAAATAATCATTAACATTCTCACAAAGTGCTAGCAAACTGTATCTGCAACATACTGCCATACTTGGTCATGCCATGACCAAGTGGGATGTATCTGAAAAATACAAGATTAATTTAAAATTCAAAAGTCCTCTAGTGAATTACAGAATACCAACAGAGTAATGGACAAAGCCACATAATCATCTAAATAGACACAGAAAGTGCATTAAACCAAATCCAACATACTCTATAATAAAAATACTCAACAATTAAGAATAGAAAGGAATATCCTCATGCTAATAAAGAGCATTTATGAAAAATCCAAAACTAGCATCATAGTTAATGGTGAGAGACTGGAGATTTCTCCTTAAGGTCAGATACAAGAAAGGGCTGTCTGCTCGCTATTAGAATATTCTACTTCTATTCAGCATTGCACAGGACGTTTGAAGCAGGAAAATAAGACAAGAATAATAAATAAAGGCATCCTGACTGAAAAGAACTAAACTATCTCTGCAGATGACATGACTTTGAATTTAGAAAATCTTAAGGAGTCTATTAAGAAACTATTAGAACAAATAGTTAGACTTGCATTTCCCTAATAATGAGTGATGCTGAGCATTTATTTATGTGCCTGTAGTCCATCTAAGTATCTTTATAGAATTGTCTAAGTGTTTTACCCATTTTTTGACTGGGTTGTTTGTTTTGTTGTTAAGTTGTATGAGTTCTTTGTGTATTCAGGAATTTAATCCCTGGTAAGACGGAGGATGTGCAAATATCTTATCCCAGCTATATGTTGACTTTTTGTTTTTGTGGTGGCTTTTTTTTTTTTTTTTTTTGAGGCACAAAATTTTTTTAGTTTGATGTAATCCAATTTGTTAATATTTGCTTTTGTTTCCCTGGCTATTGGAGTTGAGTTCCCAAACACATCTCTCAAATTTATGTCCAGGAGTATATCACCTATGTTTTCTTTTATGTGTCTTATGGTTTCAGGTCTTCCATCCAAGTCTTCAGTCCATTTTGAATTAATTTTTGTGTATGGAGTTAAAATTACTATCTACTTTCATATTTTTGCATTGTTGTTTCCCACCACCATTTGCTGAAGAAACTTCTTTCTCTGATGAGTGGACATGGCTCCTCTGTCAAAGATTAACTGACCATATTTGTATGGGTTTATTGCTGTGCTCTCTATTCTATTCCACTGGTGTGTGTTCCTGCTTTTGTTCCATTATCACACTGTTTTGAGTACCATGGCTTTGTGGTGAGGGAGTATAATTAGGTCCAATTCTCCTCTTTTCTTTCAGGATTGCTTTGGTTATTCAGGACCTTTGGTGTCTCTAGCAACTCTTATAACTGTTTATTTTCTTGAAATATATTGCTGGGTTACTTTAGATTATTTTAGATTACAATTAGTTTAGGTAATTGACCATTTTAACAATGTCTATTCTTCTAATCCATGAACATAAAATATCTTTCCACTTCTCTGTGTTTTATTACTTTTGACCATGTCTTACAGTTTTTCAGTGTAACAGTCCTTTACCTTCTTTGCTAAATTTATTCCCAGGCATTTCATCCTTTTTGATGTGAACATATATGTGATTTTTTTCTTAATTTTTCTTTCCACTAATTCATTATTTTCATATACAAATACAATAAATTTTTATGTATTGACTTTGTGTTCTACCACTTCACTAGATTAATTTATTACTTCCAGTAATTTTTGGTAGGCTCGTGGATTTCCTATATATATTATATCACCTATGAATAGTGGTAGGTTTCAGTTCTTTTCCAATTTGGATTATTTTTATGAACTTTTCTTGCCTGATTGCTCTGGCCAGGACTTCTAATACTGTGTTGAACAGTAATGATGAGAGTGGACATTCTTGTCTTCTTCCTGATCTTAGGGGAAATGTTTTTAGGTTTTTACCACTGAGTATGATGTTAGCTGTGGGTATGTCATACATGACCTTTATTATGTAGAGATATGTTCCTTTTGTTCAAAATTTATTGAGTTTTTTGAATCATAAATGGGTGCTGAGTAGAGGCTTTTTCAGCATCTACTGAAATGAGCATATGATCTTTTCATTGATGTGCCGACTGACATTGACTGATTTGCTTATGTTGAACCAACATTACATACCTGGAGTAAATCCCAATGATCATGATGAATGTTTCTATCAATATATCATTGGATTTGATTTATCAAGATTTTGTTGAGAATCTTTGCATCTATATTCACTGGAGATATCAGTCTATAGATTTTTTTTTGTGTTAGTTTGTTTGGTTTGGAATCAAGGTATTCTTGACTTCATAAAATACGTCTGAGAAGTCTCAATACATTTAAAAGATTCAAACTACACAGCATAGATTCTGTAATGAATTAAATTTGGGATCAGTAACTGAAAGATGTATAGAGAAATCACCAAATGTTCAGAAGATGAGCAACACACTTCAAAAAAACTTGGTTGTAGATGATGAGATATTGTTCCAATGAGGTGTGCACAATGAATAAATCACAAGGGAAAACAGGACATATTAAAATGTATGAGATGCAGTTTAGTTAGAAGAAAAACTTAAAAGTATTTAAATGCTTATATAAGAAGCCTAGAAAGGTTTAAAGTGAAGGATATAAGTTTCTTTAAAAGCTGGCAAAATAAAAACAAATTAAATCTAAACTAAGTAGAACATAAGTAATAAAGAGAAGTACAGACATCAGTGAAATACAAAACATAAAGCATAGAGAAAATCGTAAGAGCTGTTTCTTCAAAAAGATCAATAAAATTAATAAAATTTTCAGTAGCATGATTAGAAGGAAAAATAGAGATTTTTAATATACATGCACATATAGAAAGAATATACATGCACATATAGAAAGAATAATATAATAAAGCTCACAGGAATAGTCACTCCAGTCAATTCACGGCCAGTCTTTTTTCACCTCTACCTAACCTTATTCTCTGCTTTTCTCCCTGCCCCATGTTATCTTGAAGTAAATCCCATACTTTATATTAGTTCTTCAGTAAATGTTTCTATTTATGAACGTATTTTAAGTAGGAAAACATGTATGTTCTGCAACATGATGCTTATAATAAGAATAAAATTTAAAGTGTAAACGTGAAAAATACCACCAACCAACTTCCTCCCTTTCTCAGACTGAAGGATTGGTCAGACCAAGAATTTGATCCACAAAAGTTATCAGTTTTACTAATTGGCAGAGACAGAAATTCTGTCTCTTGCTCTCTGAGGAACAGGCTCCAGAAAGGTCTAGTGTCTAGTTTGATGGAGCATAGAAATCTGACCTGTGACTCACACTGGTTAACAGTGAGCAGTCAGGAATGTCCTAGGATTTGCACTTGGTAATTGTACCTGCAGGCACACAGACAGTGTCCCCTCAATAGTTAGGAATTACTTGGAGCATGTAAATCTCCCCTCTCACCTATCCACCCACTCAAGAACGACAAAAGTCACCTAATGGGATCCTCATCCTGATCAAATGCTACCTTTAACAGCTAATGGACCTTCTCAAGTGCCAGTAAATTTCACAACTTAAAATGAGAATATGCTGTTTTCTGTTTTGTGCAACTAGATCTCCATATGGGTATTTCTGTATCTTTTGCTGCTAATAGATTTTATGTTCTTTAATTGTGTTTTTTTTCCCCCTTTAATACTACCATCATTGTTCCATTGTGACATCATGCAAACTAGTAGTAGAAGCAGGAATGATAGGAAAGTAAAGACTCTAAAACTTATGTGAAGGAATTCAGGGAACTAAAGGGAAAGGAGTACAGCTGACCCACATCTGGCATAAGCTCATAAAAACCTTGTTGCAGATGATGAGATATGATGTGGCAATGAGGTATGTGCATGGCCTGCTGTGGGGCCTCTAAATGGTCTAGTACATAGTTCTGAAACAAATTGCAGGCTAAAAGGAAAGGAGTCAAACTTCACAATTTTCAAGTTGCTTCTATTGGCTGACTTTTCAAAGGTTCTTCAGTGGGAACTGAAAAAGGAAGTGACTGAGCTGACAGTATAATTGGTAAGAAAAACTAAAACTGAAACTGTAGATTCCTGTGTCTGGACAGAAACACCCGGAATGGTAATGATGGGGAGTGGGGAAAAGGTCCCAAGATATCTTAGAGACTGCTGAATCAGAAGGTGGCAAATTTCCAGGCAGAAGACAGGTAACCTTCTGCCAAAGTTTTTGGTGTGAGACCATGGGACAATTAAGCTAAGAAATGTAAATGTTCATTGAAGGTAGTCTCAGTTGGGAGCATGGGAGTGTGAGTAGGCAGTATTACAAGAAACAAGGTTTTGATTGTGGGGGGAATATGTTTTAACCAACATGTATGAGTTCCAGTCATTGTTTTCAGACCTTTCTTCTAAAACAGAGCAATAACCCTGATTTGCTAGCAAATTCCCTTTTTAATGGTGTTCAGAGATATATTCTCAGAAATGATTTTCTATTTGGAATAAAATGTTTCCTAAGTGGAAAATTAAAGAGTATTGAAGATATGAAACTTTAATTAGGAAAGGTATTTTAAAAGAAACTTCTTTTTGAAATCTGTTAAAAGACAGATGAGCACATATACCATATTAAACAGGTAAAATATGTGAATATTTGAACTGTGTCTGAAAAGCTGTAACTTATATTTTTTCATCATGTTCAGTAAGCTCCATAGTCCCTGTGTATATGGACTTGAAGTGCTTTTACTTCAATTTAATTGAAATAATAAAATGTGTTCAGATGTAATTTTATATCTGAAGTGGTAGGTGACTTCAGGGGATAGCAGCCCAATAAAATAAAGGGAGAAAGCTTAGCTTCTTTGGAGGTAAAAATACAGTAAAAGTCCCCTGTTAGGAGAGATAGCTTTCCATGGCTCTCTCCTTCTCCTATACATCTTGTTGCTTATGCCAAGAATGCAAGGTCCTAACCATTATCAAGTTTGTGTTTGCAGTTGAGGGATGAAGCAATATTTCCCTGGAAACAAACAGGTTTGCCTACCTCTGGCTATAAAAATGGTAGATTTTCCAAATTCAGAGTTCCTCTCTTAGACTCAATTCACTGCCTCTGCAGACATTCATCTGGGCTCTGCAAAATTCCCCCTCCCATGAGATGAGGAGACAAAGAAGGAACTGATACAACATGCCCTCTGTGCCAAGAGAAATAAAATCCTTATCTCCACCCCAGGGCTCATGTGTCTTCTGCCAGTATCCATGAAACAGTAACAGGTAAACTTATTAGCTCATAAGCAGGGTAAATCAAATCCCAGGCCCAACACCTCTCCTCAAACCTTTTGTTTCAGTTTAAAATTTTCCATTGAGGTCAGTTTCTGTGCTGAGTGTGGGGTGTAGGTATGTGAGTATGAAGGAAATATGGCTTTGAATAGGAACCTTCTCCTCGCCCTCTGCACTCAGTTCCTTCAACAGATTTATTAGAAAAAAAGAACCTGTACTACTCAGTTCCTGAATAAAAAAGGAAAAGAGATAGAGAACTAAGGTGAATCCAAAATAACTTGACCGCTTCCCATGAAATCATACCCTTCATTGATGTGACAATAAAATGACCTAGGGCAGAATCACAAGGACCCCTGGCAGTACCACTTCCTGTCTGAAAAGAGATCCTCATTGCATACCAAAAAAATGCTGACTTTTATTGTCACCAGCCCCCTAGCAGAAAGTGATCTACAGCAATTGAATTCTCTGGAAGACAAGAGAGGAAGTTACTCTTGGCAAACATTGACCAGTCAAAATAAATGACTGGTCCCCCTGTCTGGATGTTGGCAAAACAGATTCCACATGCAGGATCCTGCTGAGCCCAGATTACCAAACAATGAGGAAGAAAATAACTTTGAGCACATATCTGGGGAGATCATGCAGTTAGAACAAACTTGGGGTATTTTAATCAATGCAGAAGATTGGCTATTTACACTCAAGCTCTCAGTGGCTTATACAACTTGCTAAATCTAAGTTCTCTGAGTTAATTTTACATGAGATTAAAAACTTTTTGGGATGGGTCTCAACTACCAGAAACCCATTTATAAAGCCACTCTATGATATCCAAATTTAATGTGATATAAAACTATAAACTGACATAGACTACATATAAAATATTTTATATTGATTAATTCTTATGTAACCCAGACAATACTATGAACCACAGAAACTGTTTCATGTCAACTTTTTGACTACCTTTTAAAATCTATAGTAATACAGTTTATTTTTTATTATTGTGTTTCAGGACATTTTAAGGAAATGTTTAGACTAGTTAGGAAAGTTAGAGGAATAAAATACCTAGCTAATGAATATTTCTATTTAGTTTAAAGATTATATAGGGGATTCCATTTGTATGAAATTATGAAACCGTGCTTGGTGTTCCTCTGAACAGACTCTAGAATGATGTTTTTTCTGGAAGAAGAGGTACCAGTGAAACTTATGAGGAGGTATGTCTACACTTGCATACTCAGGAAACAATATCAGATGTTTAGGGAAGGGGTAATAAAGAGAAACACAAGCTTGAGGAGGGCAAAATAAAGCACGGCTAATTAAAATTTGTTACGGGAGAAAATGAATAAATTTTCCTAGAAGAAGAAGAAGATAAAAAGAAACTTAAGTAAATCAGAAACATTTATATGACCCAGGAAATTTTCTTTTACCCTATAATAAAGAAGTTCTACCCAAGAGCTCATATGAAGCAACACAAATTATATCATTGGTACCCTAATATTATTCTCTTGCTTTTGAGATGATTTTAATTCTCAATTCTCAGGAATATTCACCTACCTTCCCTTGAGGTATATTGTAGGTTCTCTCCTCTTGGCTATCAGGCCATGGTAAAACACTTTTGATGTTAAATTCATTAACAAACCTACCTTTCTGTGAAGATTAAATGAATTTATGTATTTTTAGGAAAGCTGTTCCAGAGTATCCTTGTTCAAGGTATCCTTGGTAGATTCTAGTTTCTTGCTCTCAGGAACCTTGTTAGATTCTGTTCCTCCTCCAGTGAATGTTTTAAGTACAACCCTGAATGTTATTGTGTGATAACTGTATTACTTTCATCAGAAAGAGGAAGAGCCAATACCAGGTAGGTCAGAGAGAAAATGGCCAAGCTCCAAGCAAAAGCAGCCCTCCTGCTTCCTAAATTCCACAGAGCCCTCTCTAGCACTATGAAACAATTGCGTGACATAGTCTCAGAGTGCCCTTTAAGATACATCCAGTTAGAAAGATGTTTCCTTTCTTCCACATAAGGATATATTTGTGAGGAAACAGAAAACAAGGAGTATCTTCTTTAAAAAAGGATAAAGAGAATAATAAATTAACTTCTAAGTACCATACATCTGGAACATCCAGAAGTAGAAAAGAATCAAGGAAAGGTAGACAATATCAGAAAAATAAAAAGACCAGAATACACAAACATAAAAGGAACTAGGGGAGAAAATCCTAGTGAAAGCATAAAAAAGTGCTCTAAGAATTTTTTAAAATTATAAAGTACTTTAAAGACAAAGCACTTAAGGGCAGATGAAGAACCTCCTATAATAATCATCAGAATCTGAATAATAAACTTAAATAGTCCCCTTGGTACACTGTAAAGTATGCAATTTTAATTATGTGATTTTTCAGCTAATTTCTGCTTCAAAAACAGCAAAGTACTTCTGCTTACAAGGTGGCAGAGACAAGAACTTTTCTGAACCTCTCATATGCACGTTGTCATCAAAATTTAAATTAGCAGAAACATGCCTTTGAGTTAAATCACAATTAGCCCTTAGATCTATTTACTGAGAACCCACTATGTGCCAAACACTGGTGGCATACACTAAACAACAGTGCATTTGTAAAGCACTTTTCCCTTTGCAGGTTCTCACAACTGACATTTTAAAACAAACTGTATTTGTTTTTCAGTGTTAACTGCATGTGCTGCAATACATCTATTATTATAAATTGCTCCTACTCAGGAGAGTCTTAGCTTTTCAGCGACAAAACACATCCAGTTTTGCTTGTGTATATATACATTTTGCATAGTTATGAATGAAAGTCAATCAACAATGGTAAATACAAACAGGTTGTCTGACAAAATAAAACAACAGTTTGGAGGAGCAGAAATTGCACATTTGTCAGAAGATGTCCACAAATAATTAATTACTTTAACACAATAATGATATTTTCTTAATACTAGATTCTCTTATAAGAGGATACTCATTACTTTCTAACCATCTGTCATCACTCCTCCCCAAAAAACTAATTAGGGTTTCATCCAATCACACATTATAAATCATGCAAATGTAGATGGCCAAAAACACAATTTAAAGAAATTAACATTATAACATTTTGTATTTTAAAAATCACAGGCTTCAGAACTAGTCTTTCAAATTCCAGTAATTACCCTGCTTATTTTTCTCATCTTTTTCTGGTTAATTATTAGACATTAAACTTAGAAAATTGAAATTAAAAATAACTTACAGGTAGTAGAGTTTTCCTGCAGCAGGAAGTTCCCTTTTCCGGTAATCTATCCCAGAATCTAGTTGGATCGTATTACAGTATTTCTATAATCCAAACACATAAAATATTTTTTTAAAATAAGTGGGGGCCTAGAATTATATTTTTTTTGCTATAGTTTATTTAATTTTTGAATTTTTTCTCAGTGAAATAATGTAATGAGCTTAGAATAAAACAAAGAACTCACAGAAGAATCATATAAGTGGCAAAATTAAACATATATCAAACCAGATCAGTTTTAAAAAACTAAAATTGGTAGCATACCTTCCTGAAATTTTGCTAAAATAATCCTGTCAGCAAATTCCCCAAATTACTGCATTGGAGTTTTTTTTAAATCCCAATTTCCATAACTCTGAAGTCAGAAGCAGGAGTTCTCAGAAAGGATAATTCATAGGTCTTTAAGCATCATGTTGGGAGAGAGACAGCAGAAGCGAGCTGGACCAGAACATTATTATCCACTTTTGAAGTCAAGTGATCATACTAAAGTGATGCTATATGTTTATCTGTTCTTCGCTTCTAAATGACTGACATGGCCCTTGTTCTTACTTTCCTTTGTAGCCATCAGAGTTTAGAGTTCTTCCCTCCTGTAGACAAGTCCCTTCAACTTGAGTTGTCCGGTGCCTGTGATGTCCTTCCAATTTCTTTCTTTTTCATCCTCCCAAGGTGCATATGTGCATGGAAACAGCACTCACACCTCTTGAGAAGCAACTGAACTTTGTCTATACCAACTTGGTCAACTTCAGAGGGTTGTTTTGAGAGAGGAGGAAATACATACTTATTTTTTTCATTCCAGCAGAACAATGGCAAACAAGGGTTTTCAGTACAATTCAAGAGACATTTACAAAATGACTTTTTTGTTTTCATTCAAATGAAAACTGCTTTATGAAAATTCATGAGGAAAAATTATATTTTAACAACTTCACTAGTTTAATTAATGAAAAACTGCATTTTGGGGCTAAGGTAACTGTGGTAGATTGTATTTTCAAAAGATGGTTACAATCATCACCAACACCCACAACACCAACACCAACATTCCAACCACCAAGAAGGGCCTCTCATTACGCCACCTCCCCCTTGAATCCTGTGGCTGTGGGGAAAATCACACTATACATCAACATCCAATATGACATGCAAGTCAGTAACTTCCTTGTTGGCCAGAACATTCACTCTGGAACCCCGAACTACCAAGTTAGCATAGAACATGGCAACCACGCCATGAGAGAGATTGAAGCAATACACACAGAAATGACCAGGAGAGTTCCTACGATGACATGAAGACAAAGGTGTCTGATCAACCCATTGTTCCAGTTGTAGCTGCTGTCTTATTAAGGGAGTCAGAATTGCTAAGCAAGCCTTTCTCAAATTCCTGAACTACAAAATCTAGGGAAAATAATAATGTTTTAAGTCTCAAAATAGTCAGCTATGCAGCAACAGATTATCAGGATAGTAATATTTGGGCACACCTGAGATGTAGCAAGATTCTTCCTCCCTGAAATTGCATCCTGGGTTCTCCTGCTATGCAAGGGCTGAGGGACCGTTTACCTGTGCTGTAAGGACTAGGCTGTACACAGCAGCAGTGATAACACATTTTCCCTTCTGTGCTGCAGCTATTTAGAGCTCAGGCAAATAAAACAGTCCCCTGGGACTGAGAGGTTTTCCCTAAGACTGAGGGGTTTTTCTGGATACAGAACTTTCAGTGCTAAGACCAGGACAGCCCTGGGCAAACTGGGCCTATAGGTCACCCTAGGAGTAAAGACCCAGAATCCTAGGCAGCAAGGCTGGAATACATATAGCCTTTTGAGTGATACATTAGCAAACATGAATTTAATACTTTCCAAATAAGAAGCTGGTCCTCTGAGGAAAGCTGAATTTTTGAGCTACACATTTAAAAAAAAAAAAACAATCCCTGAACCTAAGAATCATGCCACTCAAGAAGGCTTCACCTGAGCTGCCAGTTGGCCTCCTCATACACCCCTAGCTCATCATTCTAAGTTGCTCAAACTCAGTGCACAGACCTCACTCTTACTCCTAGGTCCTGGAATCCATCTCAACAGAAAGGAAAACAGCATTGCCCAAATATATGCTCTCCGCTCCCCTCTTGATTGAGATGACCTGTCTTTAAAAAGCATAGCAGCATTGCTTTCTTCTTCTCAACTTTGAGGAATGAAGTAAACTTGAGAAAGGAGATACTTCCTCCCCCTTGCTCCTGATAGCCTTCCAGCACAAAAATGGAGATGCATTTGTCTAAGTAGCATTTCTTACTCTCTTTTCAGAGGAAGTCTATCCTGGTAAGGTAAAAACCAGGTATTCATAAGCTACCTGTACTATAGACAATATACTAAATAGTAGAGCAATATGTTCATATAAGTGCATTGCTCCAGGTTCTCTATTTCTCTTAAACTACAGTTTATTTTATATGACTCATATTCCTAATTTAGTCAAAAAATTTTTTTTTTTTTTTTTTTGCTATTACAAAAATAAGGCTAATGGAAGTTATACAAGCTTCAATTTCTCTTTCTGGGTAACTAACTTCTCTCTTATGAGTGATTAAGCCCTACTAAAATGATTGCATTTGTACATTCACTAATCACCACAGAGGAATACCTAATCAGCAGCAAACGAACTATAACCAAAGCCCTTAGATGTTAGCTCCTAATTGTCTGAAAAATACTAACACTCAGTTTATATTTTTAAAGAAAAATAAAGCTCATATTTTCAAATTTTATTCACTTAAGCCAGATCCTTCAAAACATTTTGCAGATGGCAAAAGCTAAGATATTTCCAAGTTGACAGTGAGTCCAGTCAAAAGGGTATGACCTCTAAGTAACTTCCTAATTTCCAGGGATAATTTCCATGACTTCTTACCGCCACCTGATTCAGATGCATAAAACCTATTAGCTGCCAAATAAAATTATTTTAAAATAGTTTGTGCATTTATGTATACAGAGAACAAATACAATTATACAATCTAAAATGCAATCTGGAAATTTGGGGAGGAAGGATAACACATCCTTGAGAGCATACTCATGAGTCAACAGTCTTTGAGTTTGGAAAGAAAAATTTACTGCTCAAAGAATTAAATTTCATTGGTTTGCATTTTCCTCAAAAGCTATTGTGTACATTTTTAGCAATTCTGAATAATACCATTAGGAAAATAGCCTTCTTACAGAATACCTATATACAGTTTCTATTTTGTTTTTTCTCTTCCCAATTGGAACAAAAAAAAAAACAAAAAACCCAAAATATTCTTTAAGACCATAACAGAGGAGTCCAGCAAAATGGTAGCACAGTGCATATGCTGGGTTCACCCTCTCCATATATTCACAACTAAATTTCAACAAAACAAAGTCAATAATCCTTGAAAGATAAGCAGATGACTAGAGCAAGCATCAAGGGCAATGGTTAGCAGAAAGGGGTAGGAAAATCTTTAATTGAACTGTTTGCAGTGATACTGGAAGTACCAGTTTATATTCTCAATCAATTTACATTACCAACAGTACACAAGAGTTTACTCTTCTCCATATCCTTGCAAACACTTGTTAACTCTTCTTCTTGATAATAGCCATTCTAACAGCTATGAAGTAATATGTTGTTATGTTTTTTAAAATTTTTTATTTTTTTAAAAAAAGATTTATTTATTTATGCATATAAAAACTGGGGTGTAAACTGGAGGTGCAGCGGGTGAAAGGATTCATCAGAGAAAGTAGGGAGCAGAACAGGCAGATGTACTCAAATACACTGCTGAGGGAAGCAGCGGGCAAGACAGGAGAGGTCTGCTGTGCCATGTGGGTTAGCTCCCTGGCCGGCCGGCAGCAGCTTGATTGCACTGTCTTTAACCCCTGTGCCACCAGGGAGGCCACTCTAAGGGTTTTGATTTACAGTTCCCTGGTGATTACTGATGTTCCACATCTTTTCACAGATCTATTGACCATCTGTATATCTTCTCTAGAAAAACGTCTATTCAGTCTTTCTATTTTTAATTGAATTGTTTGGCTTTTCTTCTTCTGAGTTATATATAAGTTTCTTATATGTTTTGGATATTAATCCTTATTAGATATGTAATTTGCAAATATTTTCTTCCATTTGGTATACTGTCTTTTCATTTTGTTGGCTTTCTTTTGCTGTGCAGAAGCTTTTCAGTTTGACGTAGTCTGCTTATTTTTGCTTTTATTTTTTGTGCCTTTGCTCTCTTATCCAAGCAATTTTTGCAAAGACCCAAGTCAAGGGAGTTTTGTCCCTATATTTGCCTCTATGAGTATTGCGGCTTCAGGTCTTACGCAAAATCTTTAATACATTTTGAGTTAATTTCTGTGAGTGGTGTAAGATAGGAGTCCAATTTCATTCTTCTGCATGTGATCATCCAGTTTTTCTAAGACTATTTATTAATGAGACCATCTTTTCCACATTGATGTTCCAAATATTAGTTGACAGTATATTTCTGGGTTCTCTATTTTGCTCCATTGGCCTGTTTTATTTTTATGCCATTACCACACTGTTTTGATTGGTATAGCTTGGTAATATAGTTTGAAATCAGCAAGTGTAATACCTCCAGCTTTGTTCTTTCTCAGGATTGCTTTGGCTGTGGTTCAATACTAGTTTTAGGATTGTTCTTTCAATTTCTGTGAACAATGCCTTCAGAATTTTGATAGAGCTTGCACTGACTCACTTCAGGTAGTATGGACATTTTAACAATATTAATTTGTCTGATCCATGAACACAATATATCTTCCCATGTATGTCTTCAATTTCTTTCATTAGTCTTATAGTTTTCAGTATATAGATACTTACATTTGTTTCCAATTATCTTATTGACCTTAATGCTATTGTAAACATTATTTCTTTCTTGGATATTTCATTGGGTCAAAGAAGGATTCAAAAGGGAAATTAAAAAAAAATCTTCAACAAAAATGGATATCAACATACTTAAACCTATGGGATGCAGCAAAAATAGTTCTAAGTGGAAAGTTGATAGTGATAGATTCCTGCATGAATCAACATGACCTCAAATAATGACACACATTACACCTCAAGAAACTAGAAAGAGAACAAACTAAGCTAAAGTTATCAGTAGATGGAAATAACAAAGATAAGAACACAAAGAAACAAGGTATCAGAAAAAATATAGAAAATATGAATGAAACTAAGAACTGTTTGTTTAGATAAAAATTGGCAAACATCGAAATAGACGAGGCAAAAAAAGTAAAAGACTCAGATAAATAAAATGAGAAATGAAAGAGACACTACAGGGGCCTCCCCTGGTGGCGCAGTGGTTGAGTGCTGGGCTGTGAAGCTGCCTGCAGCCTTTGCAACACCGGTTTGATCCCCGGCCTCTGGCGAGGGTCCCACATGGCGTGCAGACCTCTCCTGCCGTGCCCACTGCTCCCCTCAGCAGTGTATTTCATCAGTCTGCCTGTCCTGTTCCCTGCTCTGGATCTGGTGGATTCTCTCACCCTCCTGTGCTTCTGACTGTACCCAGTGCTTATATAAATAAATAAACAAATAAATAAATAAATAAATAAAATCTTTAAAAAAAAAAAAAAAAAAAAGAGACACTACAACTGATACCAGAGAAATACAAAGGATCATAAGAGATAACTACGAATGAGTTTTTGCCAAGAAATTTAATAACCCAGAAGAAATGAATATATTCTTAGAAACATGTCACCAACCAAGACTGAATCATGAGTAAATAGAAAATCTGAACAGTCCTATAGTGAGTGAGGAGACTGAATCTGGAATGAAAAATCTGTCAATGAAAAGTCCAAAACTAGATGGTTTTCCTGGTGAAGTCTACCAAACATTTAAAGAAGAATTAAGGCCAGTCCTTCTCAAACCCTTCTGAAAAAAAATTTTTTTAAAGGTTTATTTATTTATTACAAGCACTGGGTACAGTCAGAAGTGCGGGAGGG